ATGTATGTATGTATGTATGTATGTATGTATGAATGTATGTATGTATGTATGTATGTATGTATGTATGTATGTATGTATGTATGTATGTATGTATGTATGTATGTATGTATGTATGTATGTATGTATGTATGTATGTATGTATGTATGTATGTATGTATGTATGTATGTATGTATGTATGTATGTATGTATGTATGTATGTATGTATGTATGTATGTATGTATGTATGTATGTATGTATGTATGTATGTATGTATGTATGTATGTATGTATGTATGTATGTATGTATGTATGTATGTATGTATGTATGTATGTATGTATGTATGTATGTATGTATGTATGTATGTATGTATGTATGTATGTATGTATGTATGTATGTATGTATGTATGTATGTATGTATGTATGTATGTATGGAGATAAAACTAAAGTAAAATTGTTGCGTTAAAGAGAATCTATATGAATTAAAAGTTAGTAATTACGGAAATGGCAGTAACATTTCTGTCAAAACACATTCTGCCAATTTTTTCCAATTGCATTTTTACTATAATAAATGAAAATTGCTATTATTTTTACAGTCAAACCTCAGTATAACGAATTTGATAGTTCCAGAAAAAAAATTCGTCATATTGGAATTTCGTTATATAGAATTTGTTTGGGAAAAAATATATATATTGCCTATGTTATACATTTATGAAAAACAACCTCCTAATCATTTACTTTGATGGCAGATAGTAATGTTACATGAAATAATTGTAAAAAATATAATTTTTCCTTTGTTCCATACAACAATGATTCCGAATCTGTTGAAATTAATTTAGGTAGAATTCGTAAAAATTACTACAATATTAGAACAAGAAACAATAAATATGGTTTCAAAATATTAAAAAAAACAAAAACGATACCTTATTGAATTAATTTTATTTAAATTTGTATAATAATTCCTAATTTAAGGAAAAAGAATATTTTTTTATAAAATACTCCATCGATTTGGCTTTCCAAATGTATTTTCGTTGAACATGCTGCACTGTACAGAGTGCAACGTATAATAATAGAAAAGAGATGGAGAAATAGTTTTTTGCTTGTAGTACGAGAAGGTTACTTTGTGGTATTTCCGAACAGTGCAATTTTAAATGCGGCAATTTTTATTTTGAGAAATATTTTTTTTATTGCTGGTTTATGTTGAAGTCGTTCGTTTTTTATCAAAGATTTTTATTCAATTTTTATAACTTTGCTTTATAACCTAATTCAAATAATTTGTTTGTGGTTAATCATTCATAATGTATGACAAGTCCTGTGTTTCTAGTGATTTACAATGAGATATCATAGGAAGAATTTTAAATGAATAACTTTCTTTTTAAAATGAAAAGGTTTGGATAAGTTTAATAATCTTACAAAATTAATCCTTAATGATGAAGGAGGGGATAATGGATATCATACTCATTATGATATAATGTTGAGGATAATGACGATGATGATAATGACAAAGGTGGTGATAAAGAGCAATGATGACGATGATGATGAAGAT